ATGGAAGATCCGCCCCCCAAGCTGTGAAATGCAGAGGGCCGACTGGAGGGCGGGATTAAGAGAAGCCCCGCCCTTTACGCAGCGAAGAGCGGAGGGTTTACTGGAGGAAGGGATTAATAGAAGCACCGCCCACCTCCCTCCTCTATCCGCTTTTGATTGGTCGCAACGGTGGGGCGGGGCGTCGAGCTGCTCACTGGTTGGCTGTGTGGGGTCGAGCTGCGGGCCGACGCAGAGAGGCCTGACAGCGCCGGGTCCGGTCGGCCGTGGCGGCCTGGCTTTGTTTTTAGGCCGGGTCTCTGGGACCGGCCCGGGAAGATGGTGCTAGGGGGCTGCCCTGTGAGTTACCTACTGCTGTGCGGCCAGGCAGCCTTGCTCCTGGGGAACCTACTGTTGCTGCACTGTGTCTCTCGGAGCCACTCGTTTAATGCCACGGCCGAACTGGATCTCACACCCTCAGGCGCCGCTCACCCCGAGGGTCCCGTAGCCCCGAGCTGGGAATACAGCGACCCCCACTCTCCGGTCATCCTTTGCTCTTACCTGTAAGCCTACGGGGTTGTAGGGGCAGTCCTCTTGGGAATCGGGCCCGGCTAGGTGGTGACTGTGAGGAGGCCAGGGAAGGGAAGGCTTCTTCCACCTGGGGGAGATGATTCCGGGATAGGTGCCTGCCTCTCAACTCCCCTGCCTCGGAAAGCCTCGTGTGTTAGTGGTAGATACCGGGAGGGAGTGGTGTAGGCTGTAGAACCCTTCCACTTCCTTCACCCTTTCTCCTGCCTTGATTACAGGATGAGTTCAAAGCCAACCAGCCATCCTCGGTAATGGAAGGAAGGAAGTTACTTAAAGGGCTGGAGATGTAGCTTAATGGTAGATAGCGTCCCTCGCGTGTACATTCCTAGTACAGGAAGAGAGGAGAATAGAAGGAAGGAAAACAGTTAGGGAGGAATACGTGCGATCACATAGCAATTGGTAAAGGGGGCTGATGATGGTCTTAATGATTTGCAGACCCGACGAGTTTGTAGATTGTGATGCCCCAGTGGATCACGTTGGAAATGCAACCGCCTCCCAGGAACTTGGTTATGGTTGTCTCAAGGTGAGGTTTTTGTTTGTTGTGCATTCGCTCTTTAGGACTGAGTGCTGTTACAGAAGAGCTTAAAGGCATGCATACAAAGAGACTTTTTTTTTTTTTTTAAGAACTCCATCGGTATAACTGTTGCTGGAAAATTCCAGCATGACCAGGGTTTTAGTGGCTGAATAGCACATTTGCTCTCCTCATGAACCAGCAATGTCTGTGCCCAAGCCGCCCAAGTGCAAAGACCAACCTGTATTGGTTCCTTTCGCCACGAAATTAACAAATTAAAGCTGAACTGTCACCTGTCCTTTCAAAGCATGCCCTCTCTTAAAAGAACAATGAAAGAGGGCCATGCACTTTGGAAAGCTGATGCTGAACTGGGTTTTCTTGGCTACACATGCAGTTGGAGCAAATTCCTGGTGCTGGTGATGACAAGCAAGCTGCACCCTGTCCTCTTTAGGAAATAACTAGGTCCTGTCAGTGATGTTTTGTTTGAGGATAGAGCATTCCAGAGAAGTCTTCAGTAGCAGTGGCCTCTCAGCCTGGAAAGGAGCCATTAGTATTCTTAAAGTGAGTGTACCTACTTGGTCTCTCAAAACCCATTGAATTTTGTTTTAGTTTTTTGTTTTGGTATGTCTGCTTTTGTTTTATAAACCTTACAATACCACAACCAAGGGGACAACTCTTAATTGAACTATGTGCAGAGAAATATTTTAAATACATTGAAATTTCATTTTATTGGTAATTGGTAAAAGCTTGACTGACATTGCATAGGGATAACTTAATTTTGATTGTTTTAATTAAAACCTGAATTTATCCTGTCACAAGAGTCAAACTGTCCCTCGGCCAGCAGCCCTTAAGGACTGGCAGGACTCTGGAGGTTTGAGAAGTGAGCAGCCTTGTTCTCCAGTCTCACTCTGAGGAACATGGGGTAATGGTAGGAAAGTAATAATAAGACATGAGGGAAACTGTGTGGCTCTGCTTTCTCTGTTCTAATAATTTTTGGTGGAACTTAAACTTCTACTAGGGGTAGACTCCAGAAACCTATAACCATTCATGACCTAAGTGAAGTCCTCAACCAGATGTTAGCCTGAATTATTTTCTAATTTTGTTCACTTATGGTAAATCTACAACAGATGTCTTGATATGTATTGACATCTCAATTCCCACTCCAAAAATGCTACGCTATATGTGCCTGTAAATACAAGATAACCAAAGCACTGTGTACATCTCTGCAGTTTGGTTTGGGTTTTATTGTTTTGAAGAAGCCAGGCATGGAGGAGAAAGGTTTATTTAAAGCAGTGTGCACTTAGAATGGACTGCTAAGTCACCTGAAGTCATCCCCAAAGTCTGTGCTTTTGAGAACTTTACTTGGTTGTCCTAGGATCATTACAGTACTGAAGCAGTTTTTACTAGTGAATGTGGATGTGTGTATTCCTTCCTCCGCAGTTTGGGGGTCAGGCCTACAGTGATGTGGAACACACTGCAGTCCAGTGCAGAGCCCTGGATGGAATTGAGTGTGCCAGTCCCCGGACCTTTCTACGAGAGAATAAGCCTTGTATAAAGTAAGTTTTACTTTCCTTGTTGCACTGCATGTGTGGTGCTGGGATTTGAACCCTGGATACCTGCAAAGCAATTGTCCTGCTAATGAGCTGCACCCGTAGCCCAAACTAAGTGTTACTCTGAAAGGGGGTCATGGGTGCTTGGATGGAGATGCCAGCTGGTGTGACCTTTTCTTAGAAGTTTTAAAGAATGCAAGTGTTTCCTTCTGTGTGAGGCCCCCTGATTGAGGCATTGTGATTGCAACAGATAGGAACAGAAGTTGTGGCTTCTGAATCTTTCCGTCTGCCCTCATCCTCAGCTTGCAGGCCCTGAGCCAAACGATGTAGCTCCTCACCAGCAAACACCTGTGAAATCTGCATTAGGACTTCTGGAACAAAGTTTTGCAAAGAAATTTGGGAGTTCCTTAACTGAAATCACCTGATCCTAAAAAAATGTGGTGTAGATTCTACCAACGGATACAGAATTTACTTAGATTGTTAGCGCCTGAGAGAAGCCTTGGTGATGAGTAGTGACATCAGCACTGAGGCATTTTCAGGCACATAAAGGTGCAGGAAAATGAGGCCCTCATTTAAGGAAAGAATGTTTCCCTTGAAAAAGAACTCAGGAAGCCAGTGGAGCCTCAGGTCCCCAGACTCCTCTGCTATCACAGTTTGTTATCCAATTGTCCAGTCCAACTAGACAAAATGTTTGTTGTTTAATTTTGTTTGTGTGTGTATAGGTTTGCCTTGTTGACTGCAGGGCCTGCAATAGCCAACAGAGAGCATCTGATCCAGGTGGTTGTGATCCACCTGGTATCACTGGTGGGAATCAAACCTGGCTCCTCTTCGAGAGAACAAAAGTGCTCTTAACCACTGAGCCATCTCTCCAGGACCCTTTTTGTTCTTACAATCACTTCCTATCTTAGCAAGTGCTTTTTTGAGACCCTAGAGCAACTAGAGCTAGGGAATCTATTATACTGTAATTTAATTTTTTTTTTTTTTTTTTTTTTTTTTTTTTTGTCTCTGGGGAAAGACTGCCCATTCCAAGATTAGAAAATTCATGGTGTTAGCCAAGGCCCTAGTCAGCATGTCCTGAATATGCAAATTCATGTCCTGAGCCATCTAGTGACAGGACACCCCAGGAGACTACTCCTGTGCCTTAATCATCCCAGGGTCATATGTCAGGCCACTAGGGTCCACGTTGAATATAGCTTAAAGCTGCTGAGATGATTCAAGTAGTCAATCCTGAATTGCTGATGTGTCCTGCCTTGGCTTTTCCACAAAACCCCCAGCAAAGGTTGGGACCTGGACCTACCTCCTACTCCTATCTACTGACCATCATGCTCACCTTCCCATGTGACCTAGCAGGGTGACAGCCCCACCTCTCTAGGACCCATGAATGTAATAAGCTGTCTGTTTGGCTTCCCCCACCCCTCCCCAGGCTCTTTTGTGTCTCCCCTAGTAGCCACACCTGACTGAATGTATCAAGAACGAACCCAAGCAGGGTGAAAGGCCTCTGCACCACAGCCAGCACTTGCGGCACTTTTATGATGGTCCAGTCGGTTTTCATGAGACAAACATCTCCCTCCCTCCATCCAGGTACACCGGACACTACTTCATAACCACGTTGCTCTACTCCTTCTTCCTGGGATGTTTTGGCGTCGATCGTTTCTGTTTGGGACACACTGGAACAGCCGTCGGGAAACTGCTGACCCTGGGAGGACTTGGGATCTGGTGGTTTGTCGACCTAATTTTGCTCATCACTGGAGGGCTGATGCCCAGTGATGGTAGCAACTGGTGCACTGTCTACTAAAAGCTGCTGCTGCCCCAGGCCAGCAAGAACAAAAAAGTGTTAGGTTGCCCGGCTAATTACTACAAGCTCCAAATTCTTCTCCAAACATCACTTTCCCCTTTAGAAGTTCAGACTGAACTTTTCAAACCAAACCTTACCTTGCAGACCAAAAATGACAAGCAGTGTTGTGGGAGTCCAGTTGTATCTTTCTTCATGTGTAAAATAGCAAAGATAGTGACTTCTATCCACGGATCATTTTCAGAACGCCGTTTCTGTGTGGCTGGATCTTGAGTCATCTGGAGCAGGGGCCCAACAGGATAAACCAAGCGTGTGTTTACCCATGCACAGTGACCCTGAATTTCCAAGCACAAGTCAGAAACTGCGCCAGTGAGAAATCTCCAGGAGACATAGAAATGACTGTGGATTTTAATACACACCAAAATTCTGACTCTGTGAATCTAAATTACAGAATAAAGTTTTAAAACCTAGCCTGTTGTGAATTTTCAATAGAGAATGAAACTCCAAAATTGTTTTTGCTGAAGGGTGAGCATTTAAAGTAAAAGTTATGGTTTGGATATGCCGGTTCCTCCTGCAGCCTGCCTCCTTTAAGTAGTCTGTTCCGCACTTGGTCCTAACGGTGCAAAGTCTAATACAACTGCCCTTATTAATCCTGGTTGTGGACTGCTGCAATGTTCTACAGACAACAAGTTGTTCATTCTAGTTATGCTTTGAAACCCAACAATGGCAGACATGTATGAGTTAACAAAATTGTCCCATCTAAAATTAGTATTTTCCGATTTTAATCAGCCTTTAAAATATGGGCCCCATATATCAGAGGCTGGTGTAAAAATGCTATATAGGCTAGAGGCCACTTCATTTGCAGCACTTGGAAGGTAGAGGCAGGTAGATCTCTTGTTGAGTTAGAGGTCTACATAGTGAGACCATGTCTTTAAAAAGAAAAAAAGATTTTTATACAAGTAACTGTAACACTTTCTGCATAATTAGTTGAGATAAAATGGGAACTCATGCCCTTGGAAAGAAAATGTATGCCTATGTAGAAGATACTGACTGGGGATGTCAAATCCAGATGTCTTAGGGGAGAGAGAGAAAACACATTCTGTCCATACAAGCATGACAGTAAAAGTTTTCCCGTGTGCCACAGTGTTAGAGCCAGTCAAGCTTCTGCTTTCCCAAGTCCCCAGGGAGAAAGGAAATGTTGTGAATGATAAGTGGCTTTCAATTCTAAGTCCAAAAGGTCTGTTAAATATAACGTAACTGACAGGTCAGACCAAGAGCCTGCTCTTCAACTAACTAGCCATGGACTCTAGAGACAGAGCAGAGATATGCCATGCCCATTCCCATAATAACTGACATAAACACCAACAGAGCTCAGGTAAAATTAGTCCTGGAAACAACCACCTTAACCCTACTTACAACAATAACAATTGGAAGAGGCAATTCATAATTTCTTCACACCAAGGCTATATTTTTACATTAATTGTGAAGAAACTGGACCTCCTTAAAAATATACAAATGAAGCTTCACATAGACTTTAAGGAGATCCAGGGGTGCCATATTTAAAAAGAAAATTCTGTAATGCTCGATGGTAAGCCCTTATCTAATGTACACTGGTCCCCAGGTTTGATCCCCAGCAACCCTCCCAAGTCTGGAAGACAGTAACTAAAATTCCTACCCAAAATTTAAGCCATGAGTCAGCTCTACCTATGTAAAATCTCTGAGTGTTTGTAAGCTCAAAAAAAAAAAAAGTATAAGTCTTAAATGGTTCAAAACATATTTTAATGGAAGATGTTCTCAGAAACACTGGAGGACCCAAATTGTTTCTAAAATGATCATTTTGAGAATATTCCTGTGTTATAATCTGATGTCATCAGTTTCCATCTGTCTTGTAATTGATGAATTTTCTACTCACAATCCCTGGCCAAAAATGTGATACGACCTAGGAAACTGAGTATACAGAGGAGGATTGTTTAAAATGTGATTGCCTTTTTACTCCAGATTCAGGCTCTTAATACTTGGCAGGTAGATTATTTGTACATATGTGTGACATGTCAGTTTGTGACTATATAGGAGGTTACTAAAGTAACCTGACAAGATTCATTTGGGAATTACCTGCTTTTCAGTTGCTTCTGTCTTTAAATTTTATCAGACCACATGACTGCTTCCACTTGGCTTAGAACTGTTTTGTTTGTTTTTTTGCAGCAGAGGAGCACCCTCAACCTCAAGATCCATGTGTGTGTGTGTGTGTGAATGTGTGTATACAAACGTGTTCATGCATTCAAAACATCAGTTTTTCTTGATGTCCTAAAGCCCCTGCCATCTTTGCCACTTCAATACAAACCAGGTAACACAACTGGTTTTGCTAGCCAGTTTTTCAAAGTAAGATACTTAATTGATTATCTCAGGTGTGACTGTCAGAAACAAGGTTTGACTTCCTCGACGCACAGTGATGGAGAGAAAGTCATTGTCCTTAACAGCTTCAATGACATCAGTTGTGGTGGTGACAGGTTGCCCATTTATGCTGATAATTACATCATGGTCTCTCAACCCCGAGCTGAGAAAGAAAAAGAAAAAATGATGAAGCCGTGTGGTGATGTTGCATGCCTTTAATTCCGGCATTCGAGAGTCAGAGACAGGCAGAGCTCTGTGAGTTCAAGGCCGACTTGGTCTACAGAACAAGTTCTAGGACAGCCAGGGTTGCACAGAGAAATCCTGTCTTGAAAAACAAAAATAGAGAAGATTGCTTAAATTATAAGAGTTCTACTCATTCTCATTTGGGGTGTGTTGTCTGCCTGTCTCATTCTCCATCCATCCATCCATACACACACACACAACACACACACACACACACACACACACACACACACACACCTGCCTGCTATTTTACTGACCATTAGACATATGAACCAAGAAGGCAGGACTAGCCTGAATCCCTCCAGCTCTCAGGGTTGTAGGAAGATGTGTCCTGAAGCCAGCTTGAGGACAATCACCTTCTGTGTTTCCTATAGTATTAATACCCTGTGAGAATTCTGGAAGAAGCTGCCTCCTCACATGCATTGATTTCACTTGGAACGGACAGGTAGGTTAGTTTCTAATTTCTCTTCATCTCTGCCCTGTGTTGACTTTAAACATTACTAAATTCACTAGCAAGAGTGCCAAGCCCAGACAGTGTTTTTCCCCCAGGAAGTTGTGCTCTGATGAGTCTGACTGGACAGCCCATCCCATGGTTTCTGGAACTGGAGCATGATGAGCTGCTGTGTGTCCCAGATGTTCTGCTTCCCATAAATCAAATGTCACTCAAGTTTCCAAGTCCAGATGTTTACAGCTCTGATTCAAGGCTGTAGTCCTATTCAGTCTTCAACACATTGACCTCACATAGAATATATACTCCAGATACAAACTTCACCTCCAAAAGCAAAGTGCAATAAACATGGACAGGCTGGTTTGTAAAGGTAAGAATGGGCTAAAAGAGGAACAAAAATGATTCCAGAAGATGCTATTTAAGGAAAATTAGAAGTTCAAGAAAAAATTACAATGTGAACAGATTACCAAGATATGTGGAGTTTGAAAGATTTGAGGAGCAGGGAGTATAGCTGAGTGGTATAGGGTATGTTTAGCATGTACTTCGTCCTTAGTTCATTGGCCAGTATCAAGGGTGAGAGGTGGGGGTGGGAAAGTAATGCAGTGGGGCATGAAAAGAAGGAAGGAGAAAGCTACATGCAAGAAATCCCTAGGAACAGGACAGCAGCAGATGACTCAGCAGTCGTGAGCAGGGAAACAGAGCAAGAAAGAACCAGTGCTGTATCATGGGGCCTACTGTGCACTGAATATAAGGAAGTTGGTTCACACAGGATAAGTGGCCTTTTCCCATTCTCATATCTTTCAACCGATTAAAGTGGGATTTTATCCTGTGTCTATCAGACTTGAAAATCCATCTTCTTGCCACTAAGTCAACTCTGCCTCTTGGAAAGGAGAGTAACTACAAAATCAGGATTGTAGAGGAATTAAACCAGGCTGCACATCTCCTCCCTAACCCCTATGTAACTCCACACAGCTGCTTCCCCTTAAAAACAAGGACTATGTCATAAGACTCCTCAAACAACTGTGTAAAAACACTGTGGTTCCTCTGATATAATAAATGTTTCCTAAGTGCCAACTGTTGTTTGTAATTATTAACAGTTATTAAATATAAGTAGATAGAAGCCAGCAAGGAGGTATGTTGGGCTGTCAGAGACAGCAGTAATTCTCACTTCGACAGGCATATAACTACCCACCTGGGAATCTTGTCAAGACAAAGACTCTTTCCTAGGGATGTAGTCTAGTGATAGAACAGGTGTTAAGTACACACAAGGCCCTGGGCATGAACTCCTGGAAGCAAGTAATATTAAAGTGGAGTTTGGGAAAGAGGAAGGGTAGAAAGAGGTGGGAAAGAAAGGAGGGAAGCGAGAGAGAAAAAAGTTTATCTGGCACAGCTAAACCCAGCACTCGGGAAGTCAGGACAGGAGAACCCAGAGTTCAAGACTACTAGCACAGAGGCAAGGAGACAGGAGGGGTGAGGGGGGTGGGTCTAATTCAGGTATGGGACTCAGACCTGCCTTTCTGTCTGGCTCCAGCTGAGGCTGCCACTGCTGGCACAGCACACTTTGAGAACTTACAGAGCTGAGAGTAGCTCTCTGGCCTTGGATCAGAAGTTAAAATAAGGAGTCAGGGGAGGGGCAGGGCAGGGCAGGGACCCGGAGAGAGTCTAGAAAAGCTTAGGACATGCCAAATCTAGCAACGGGAGTCCTGACACTTAGCCATGCTTAACTGCTGGTACCTATGAGTTCTTCCAGGTCTAACAGCTACCAACATCCAAGCAGATTGTTGAGCCCTTGAAAAACAAACAGGGAGCAGTACCAAAGGAAGGACAGAGCTCAGGAGAACAACATTTGTGGAAGAAGCTGCCTCTACCTGATACTAGATGTCCTAAAGCAAAGCTGAAAACTTCCACAGGGCTGTTTGATCTAGAAGTGCAGTTGTCAGTCCCAGCAGTTGGCACTGCCATTCAGACCTCAGTGAAAGGGTGTTTGTGAAGACCTACAGGACACTAAAACTTAGAGCACCCTGAACCCTTCCCATTCGTTTTTCTTTCTCTCTTTTTTGCCCCCCCCCCACTCTCACTGTCAGGAGTCCCACAAGAACACCCAGCTACACAACCATAACTTATGTGCAGAGGACCCACATCAGGGTCCGTGATTGTCGATTCAGTCTCTGTGAGCCCCTATGAGTCCTGCTTAGTTAATTAATCCTTCCCATTCTCATTAACTAATAATTGCTGAACTGTTCAAATCATTTGTTTATCATTAGTTGACGGTTATGAATAACTGGGACATTGTAGCCCATACCTATAATCCTAGCATGCAGGAGGCAGAAGCAAAAGGATTACAAATTTCTGGTTATCCTGGGCTCCACAGTGAGGCCATGTCTCAAAAATTTACAGTTAAGAGATGGCAGACAGTCAGAGGGTAAAGTGCTTACCACACATGTATAAGAATAGTTTGGATCCCCTGCCCATGTATTTAAAAAAAAAAAAAAAGCTGGACACAGTGGCACATGTCTGAGATCCCAGCACTGGGGAGACAAAGATAAGCATATCCTAAGAACTCTGGGGACAGCCAACATAGCCAAATCAGTGAGCTCCAGGTTCAGTGAGAAATCCCGTTTCAAAACACTGGATGGAAGTAATTGAAGAAGACACTCTGTATCTACCCCTGCCTACTACACATACACACCCATATTTGCACATACACATGAAAACATACACCAAATTCTACAATTACTATATAAGTCATTAACAACTTAATACATGAAACTTAGTTAAGTAATAACTAGTAATATTGAAAGAATATGTTTAGGGGCTGGTATATAACTAAGCTTACATGGAAAAAGGGAGAGGGGTTCAACTTGGTAATTCCTAGCAAAATTAATTTTAACCTAGGCTATGAACCTGAGCCCCTGTCAGCACTGTTCAATATAAATATAATTCAAGCTGCACATATCACTTTAAATTCTAGAGTAGTCACCTTTAAAAAAAAATCCAATAAAGTTACCTTAATGGCACATCGTATTTAATGCCACAAATCTAAAATTTTGTCATTTAACACAGAATGAAAAGTTTGAAATTTTGACAAATATTTTACAATTATTGCCTATAAGTCTTTGAAATCCACACAAAATACAACACACCCACCCTGCCATTATGCTCTGATAGCTCATCCAGTGCAATAATTAACACAAAATTCAGTCCTTCTGAAAACAAATAGGAAAATGATTTGCCCTGTTTCTGGTGTTTTTATTGTTTTCATCTACACCAATTTAAATCAAATGCAATTTTAAATTGAGTCACTGAGTCACGCTGGCCAGCTTTCAGAAGCTCAGTGCACAGTGTGTAGAGGCTATGCCCATGATTGGTGCTTAAGTCTAACTACTCCAAGCTCCACGTGGTTCCTGCCTAGAGACAACACAGGAGGTTGGACAAAGGCCTCTTCACTTACCTTGCAGCAGCTGTTCCTTGAATCACTTCGTATACAAAAACTCCAGAACTCACATCAGGGAAATCTGGATCTTGCCTTTTCATCTCTTGAAGGAGGCTGGGAACAGTATAAAAGTTAGCAACACAACCATCCCCTGAGGCCTGAGAAAAGACTTACCCTCTCACAGCATACTATCTCTTTCCCCATCTCTTCAGCTGGAGACTGGCAGGCACCCAGGTAAATCCCACCCAGCCAATCACAAGCCACCTCTGCTGTGTGCTGTCTCCTCCTCTAGGCCAATGGCTTTGTACACATCTCTGGATGTGATGTGTAGCTCAACCATAATGAAAGACACTGGTACTGGCAAAGGGAGATGCAACAGAGCCTGTGTTCACAAGGGTCCCCTTAACTGTTGCCCAAATATGCTTTTGTTTTCTTGGTAAGACTGCCAAGTGATGGCTTGTTACCATAGTTACCCAGTGCTTACTTTAGAGTGAGGGGCAACATTCGAAGACCCAGGTATTTCTTCTGTGAGGGGGCCTTTCCTGGAAGGGAAAGTCATGATATATAATTCACAATTTACTTCCATTTGGCACAGCTTAAGAGACACCTAAATCCTAGAATCTCTTGCTAGAACATCTGGCCTTGTACACTATCTGCTTCAGAAAACATCTGTGGTCAACACAGATACATCTCCAGCCAGCGAGTTCACTTCTAAACTGTACAACACAAGCATTTCTGTGGATGTCTCATATTTAGCTTTGTGCTTAGTGCCCCAATATGGTTACCCACCCCCTGTTATATATCTGAGACCCAGTACCTCAACACCATAAAGAAGTCAAGCTCCAAAAGGTGGGAGTGAGCATGAAAAACAGAAGGGTCAAATCCCCCCAACCTCCTTCACCTTTCAACTGGCGCTCGTGATAGTCTGCCAGGAACTGTCTGATCCGATCCGAGGGAATCGCAAAGGAGATTCCTGCAGTCACCTTCAGTGTGTTTATACCAATCACATCACCATCCTGGCAAGGAAGAAGAAACTCAACGTTAAGTCTCAATGCTCCACAAACAGAACCATAAACTAATCTCAAAGGACCAAAACAGGAGGGTGAGGGAAAACCCACTGCTTCATTAGGGAGAAACAGATTTCGTCTTCCAGGGCAATTAGGGTGATGACAAAGGAAGAGGTGCTTTACAAATACAAAAGTTACACTTATTTCACATTCAAAATGTCAAGGCTATGCTGGGCATTGGCAGCACCAAGCCTTTGATCCCAGCACTGGGGAAAGCATGAGGCAGGTGCATCTCTGTGAGTTCAAGGCCAGCCTGGTCTACAGAGTGAGTTCCGGGACAGCATAGCCCTGGCAGAAGTCTGAGTTTAGTCTCCTGGGCTTTTGGTAACTATCCAATGACAGCAGAAAACATGTAAAAGAGGGAAACTCTGAAGGAAGTGCCAAGAGCACCAGCGCCCTAGTGTTCTTGGTGAGATGAGAGCACACACCAGCAGGATAAATCCATCACAGGCTCTAAAAGTTTCCCTAACCATTTACTTAAAACCCAACAATAAAAAGCACCATTCCTTAATCTCTCCATGAGAGAAGCACCCAAGCCTGCACCACAGATTTTGAAACACGTTTAAAGTTAAGAAGAAATAGGAAGCAGTGAGGAAAATGACCACTTACCAAGTTCACCAATGGCCCCCCAGAATTCCCGTGCTAAAGACAAGTTGAGAGAGTCATCAGTTAGCAAACAGATACATTTCTCCACATCTTTTATACAGAGTTGCTCATGAGTTTTACCAGAGCAGCCTGCATCCCCAAGGCAGGCAAAATTGTGCCCCTCATCCTCCCAATCCTAAAGTCAGGGCAAAGCAAATGGACCCCCATATGGTTTCATAAAGATGACCTCTGCAACAAGCCCCAAGTGTGGGTGCCAGTTATATCAAACATTCAGCTCCAGCAACAGGGCATTCCAACCCTCCCTTAGGGATAACCTCTGAGAATGCTCAAAGACCAAAGGGAAAAGAGATCACTCGAAAGTCTTCTTCTTACTCTATCCTAGCAACATCATCTGAGCTGAGAACAGACTCCCAGTGACTCACGTTAATGATGGCATCTGTCTGGATATAGTCTATGTCTGAATCCTTCAGTCCCAGCTCTTTGCCGCCTCTCTGTGTGGTGCTGACAATCCCGGCAGTCACTGTGTCCTGCAGGGAAAACGGGCTGCCCAAAGCTACCACGAACTCTCCGGCACGGAGATCAGATGATCTCCCCAGCAGCAACACAGGAAGGTCAGTCTGCACATGGGGGTGAGGAGCAAAGAAAGAAAAGATGGAAAAGAAGAGCACGGTCAACCATACTGTCCCCTGCTGACACTGGCCTGAGCCAGCACCCTCCCTCCTGCAAAGGGTCTTGCCTTCCTTCTTTCTCAGATGCAGATCCCACCAAACTCTCCCTTTATTAAGATAACTGACATCATCTCTAAGATCAAAACTTGTATTTCTAGCTGCTAGAGAGGTGGCTCAGAGGTTAATAGCATCCTCTGCTCTTCTAGAGGATGTAAGTTTGGTTCCCAGTACCTATGTTGGGCAGTTGACAACCACCCCTAACTCCAGCTCCAGGGAATACAATTTCCTCTTCTAGCTTCCATGGGCACTTTGTATTCACTTGCACAGACACACATACAAATATACATCAATAAAAATAAGATAAAGTTTAAATTTGAAGTTGTATAAAAATTACTATTAATAAGTGATCAGTGAAATGTCTGGTGTTAGTTTATTTATTGTCAGAGTGAAGTCATGAACAGGATAGAGATCACGCAGAATAGCATTCCTCAAACTGTACTGACGACATAAAACCCCTAGTTGCTTATCAAAATGCAGGTTTGGGTAGACCTGGGTGGATCTGAGATCCAGGATTTCTAACAAGCTTTCAGGTACAGCAAGGACCTCAAAGTGTAATTAGCAAGTTTGATTGCATTGAAAATGATTTCCCCCAAAGTTACATCTGTTGGAGAAGGAATCATAGGAGTGAGAAAGAGCTGTTGCTACTAGACAATTAATAGAGATTGATGGGGATTGATGGGTAACAGAAGGAAAAACATAAAAGGAGAGTGAAATCCTTTGGCCAGGCATCCTTCCACAATGCTCACAGCTTGGGTTTCCTGTTCCCCAAAGCTGAACATTTGACTTCAGACTTGGCCTTCTCATCCCTGCTGTCTGGTGGCAGTGACAGCACAAAAAGACTGGAGCCAGGCTGAGTAGACCCTTGGACCTGAGTAAGCTTACAAGGCCCTGTGAATGGGCCTAGAATCAAGCTAGGTGTTGGGCAAGTATTGGAGGTATACAAGATCTCCTTGTTTCCACCAGCATATGCATTCTGTAGAGGGATAGCTACTGTAGACCCCAGGTTAGAGAAGGCCTATTGGCCCAAGTGGGCCTGAAGAGCTTGAAGCCTGATAGCCAGGCAGGAGCCAGAGTGGAAAGCAATTCAGAGGCATCTCGTCTGGGCCTTGTGCTTCCCACACAGGGTTGAAGGTTAAGAGGGTGAAGCTGAAACCAAACCCCCTAAGAGTCCCAGGACATAGAAGCTCTGCAGAAAGAAACTGGGACAGTGTGCCAAGGCAAGCTGCTGAAGCCAAGGTGGATAATGCTGGGTTATACCCAGGCAGATGTGGGGGCATCCTGGGCATTCTCTTTGGGAAGCTGTCCAGCCAGACAACCATCTGCTGCTTTGAAACTCTGCAGCTCAGTCTCAGAGTTGTGTGAGCTGCAGCTCCTGCTGCAAAATGGGCAGAGGAAACAGATAAAATGAGAACCTAAGGAGAGAGGTGAAACAGAGACCCTGGTACAGGCCTGCATGAGGAAGTAAATGAATTTCAGGAACAGAGTGAATGGACACCAGGAGATTTCATCCCTGCAGTTCAAGAGTCTGCCCTGCAAGAGATCAGTTTCATTGTGAGCAGCCTTGGCTGGAGGGGGATGTGGCCCAGCCTGGCTCTGTAACCCACCCCAGAAGGGCAAACAATCACTGACTGTTTCCAAAGGAAGGAGTGTGAAGCTACAGGGTCTCCCTTCCTTGGGACCTAGGGGGAGCTGTGTCCTTTCCTCTGTACCAGTCCTATTGGTACCCCAGGTGTAGGAGTCTGAATTTCACCCTCCTCTACTCTGCCATCTCTTTTCTTGAGGTTAAGCCTTCTCCTCCCTTCCCTGTCCCCACTCTGGGTTCTCCTACACGTTCCAGACTGAGTCACCTGCACTGCCCAGGGATGGGGGTAGACCAAAGGGGGTAGGCAAAGAGAACCTGGAGTCTGTACCCCAGCGGCTTTGGGGACTAGGTTCTTCATTTCCTGAGGAGGGGTTGGAAACTCAACAGGTGGGGACAGAAGTGTAACAGGGAATGGGGGGCATTGAGGGAATGTGAGGTTGTTATACTCTAAATTTTAATCTCCACATCACTCATCACTTTGTTCTAGGAGGAGGAAAAGGAGGAGAGGAAGAAAAACATACCTTACATACAAAGAAAAGGCATAGTGAAGGAATACAAAATGAAATACCGGCAAATAAACTGTGAAATCCCCAAATGTGAAGACCCCGCCTTAGCTCTCAACTCACATTTGGCTCAATCTTAATCAGTGCAAGATCCAGTTTATGGTCGATGTCTTTGACAGTGGCTTCATACTGGGCCCCACTCTGGAGCTCTACCTGGATCTTCTGATGGTTGGTGAGGACATGGGCATTGGTGATGATGAGCCCATCCTCAGACACAATGAACCCAGAGCCACTGGAGGAAGGGATTTCCTGGTTGGTGAGAGGTGATCTGTCCCGGAACAGGACAATAGTATGAGCAAAGGCAGGAACTGGGGAATCCATCCATTGTGAGTCTCAGCAAGCCTCACATTTATCAACCATAGCTCCAGTTTTCACAAGTATGTTCCTTTTCCCTGTCTACTTCTATTCTCTTCATGTATATATGAGCGGCATGTAGCATGTCCTGGCCATCTATCTCTTCTGAACACAACTCAGAGCTGGGACACTGCTTCCTCCTTCAAATAGGGCAGGAGTGGCAACCTGGGGGCCATCTGCTGCAAAGAGTCCAAACCTGGCGTTAACAGGTCACACTCCTGTCACAGTGTCAAAATCTAGCTCTTAGTTTCCACTACCAACTTGTGTAGTAAAATAGAACAAGTTAATTTTCTGTCTATCCAGGTTTACTTGCACGCAAGTGATGGCTAGGGCTAAATGAGACCACCAAATGCTGACTAGTTCCTCTAATCAGCCCTAAGTTTTGCTTGGGTATGGGGGAGAAAGAAACCCGAGCCACCAACGTGCACCGATGTAGCTTGGATTTAGAAGCCAAAATCCTCATGCTTGGTTCTTTGCTCTTTAGCAAAATAGCTCTTAATAATTTTTCTTCGGGTACTGGGCTGGAACCTAAGATTTCCCCCACATGCTTCGCATGAGCTCTACTGCCCAGCTGTACCCCGCCAACTCTTTGAACCTGGGTTTCCTCACAGCGTATCAAGTGGGGTAATTGGCCCCAGGGTGTGACCTTTACCTGCGGTATAGCTGCAAATGAACCACAGATGGCGCCACCTTCTCCACCACTGCGGCAATAAAGTTAAACTTCTTCCGGAGCCTCCCAGCACTTCTGGTCCCTGTGAATAAACGGTCCATGGTGAGGGCAGGCACTGCTCCCTGGATGCAGGTGTCACATCTCAAAATTTCCCAGCATCTCTCCGTCCCCCTTCCTCCGCAGACTAGTGGATGAAAGGCATACCAAAGGGAAGAAAAGAAGAAAGAATCCCCGTAGCAACCAGTAGAGACCACATTAACCAGGCAAAACACCAGGAACAACCACAACAGGTTGAATCTTTGGAGCTGGCAAAGGAGGGTAGACCGAGAGAACTAAAGAGCCCCCATTTCATCTTCTTAGGAAGATGAAAGACTTCCTAAGAGTCTTCTTAGGAAGACTCAGAAGTGTCGGGGAGTGGGGAGTGTGGTGGTGGGGTGCCCTGAGCCTCGCTCACCTGTGTCCCCGCAGCCTCCCTTCTGTACAGGCACTGCCGGGGGCGAGCCCCGCAGGCGCGCGGCTCGGTTCTCCTTCCGGAGCGCGCACAGGCTGGGATAGGTGCGTCCGTCGCTGCCGCACACCGCCGC